AGGGACCAGGGTCAACCGTCCGTTCGAACTGTTCGAACGAAGGGGTCGCATTTTGGTCGGAAGGGGGTCGCAATTTCGAGGACTGTCAGCCACAGGCGCGTGCGTGGCGTATCCGAGGGCAAGAATTGTTTGTGCAGACCGCATTAGATTCGATTAATTATGCACAGAAGAGACAGTTTTGGGCAAATTACGGTGTTTTCCTTGAGGAATAGAGAACAGTTGAATGCATCTCCATGAAAAGTTTGACTTCTTGTGGCTGAAATTGAACTTCTTCGGGAACCTACTTTTCTACGGACGGTTCTTCCACAAAATCGTGAAACACATAAGAAAGAAGAAACCTCGCGGTCTTCAAAAATGTCTTCGCCTCTTTCCAACATGCTCTTTGAAGGAAGTTATTATTGCTGAAAGCTCGAAACCTCGCATGTGCTGCTCAAAAACCTATGGGATCCAAATGTTCGAACGTGGGATTTTCTCGAAAAATGAACTTTGAAAAATGGTTTAGGGCTTGTTAGAAAGAGCAAATTCTGCTCTTTCACCCCATGGAAAGAGGGAAACGCAGCAATCAAAATGAAGCGAGTTATGCTCGTTGAAAGCCCAAAAACTCGCGATTTCAAAGAATGTGTTCGGCAAAACCGCCCGAAATGTTCGAACGTGGGATTTTCTCGAAAAATGAACTTTGAAAAATGGTTTAGGGCTTATTAGAAAGAGCAAAACCTGCTCTTTCACCCCATGGAAAGAGGGAAACACAGCAATCAAAATGAAGTGAGTTATAGTCGCTGAAAGCTTAAAAACTCGGTTTTGCACGGGAAAATGTTCGAACGGGAAATTTTTGAAAAGGGGACAATCACTAAACTTTTTATACTGTTTTGTTAGAGAAATATTTGAAGTTTCTGAAACTTTTTACAGATTTCCAAAATGTCGCATACGAAAGATTTTATGGGCTCTCAAAGTTGGAGGTGCGCCTTCTCAGAATTTTGGGTTTTCCGCTTCTGACAGAAATACTTTTGGGAGAGTTAGGTCATCCTTGCAATTTTCTGTAAAGCCACCTCAGGCACAGTTTAAACCTACCTCAATAAGTGAAACAAATACGTCTCAAGAAAGTTACACTCTCCTAAAACTTTTTCTTCGCCGCGTCCCAGTTTTCCAGCGTCCGGGTGATACCTGCCGCGCTCCAAGGTTGACGCCGCAACGCAAACGCTTTCTGCGGCGGTTTCTGACGCAATCATGTCAGTCCTACTCTTCTTTAATCCTTCCTCTTTTTTCAGCTGTTTGAGCAGAAGTTCGTCAGTCTTCATGTTACTTGTTGGATATCCCTCCATTTGGTCTTACACATTTCGCTTTCATCCTCATTTTGGCGTGATTGTGAGCGAACAAAAATTTTGATCTCGCGAGGCTAACCATAAAAAATAGCTTTCATTAGCCAGTGCCCTGTGATTCTTGCTCCTTTGGGGCTCATCTTAGGAGATGCATTGATGGAGAACGTAACTCTCTTTGATTTACTCCCTTGAACTGCTCTTGTGATTCTTTCGGAAGCATGAAGTTTGAAGTTTTGGGCAACATGAAAAAAATATTGAATTTTTTTCAGAAATTCAATGATTTTTTGAAAACAATTCAATTCAAATTTCAGTGAAGATCTCAATATTCAAATGTTCTGTTCATATTTCATGGAAGTTCATTGTCCATTTGAAAACAATGAACTTACGAACTTACGAACACAACATTTGAATATTGAATTCTTTACTGAACATTTGAATTGAATTTTTTTCAAAAAATCATTGAATTTTTGAAAAAAATTCAATGATTTTTTGAAAAGAATTCAATTCAAATGCCAGTGAAGAATTCAATATTCAAATGTTTTGTTCTATGTCATGGAAGTTCATTGTCTTTAAAAGGTTTTAGTTCACTGTCTTTGAAGTAAAATGAGTGAAATAAATATTTCACTTAACATTTAGTCAGCACATTCGGCACTTCCATTACCTAAGAGGGGGTCGCAACTGGACCCCCTTGAGATAAGGGGGTGACCCCCTTGAGAAAAGGGGGTCGCAAAAACCCTGAAAATGTTCGAACGTGACGGTTGACCCTGACAAAGGAGTGCGCATTGCGGAAACTCCTTCCACAATACGTCCGAGTTCATGATGCAAGTTATGTTAGAAAGCCATAAGAGGCCAATTCAGTGAAAAAACGGTGTGCGGTGGACGGTGGACGTGCCAAACATTTTATGTCAGCGTTGGGTTACATTTTTATGTTGGGCCGAAGTATTTTTACGACTGGCATGGCTACGAACGGAAATTTTTCAAGAAAGGCGAACAAGTGCAACAGGATTGCATGAGTGATTTTGCATCGATCACATGGGAATGTGCATTCTGTGCCAGAAAATCTATAGCGAAAGATTCCTACACTTGGTTATATGCCTCGCAATGATTGCTGTGCAGCTGCGGCTGGTGTCCTGTTTCCTGGCGACACTGCGTTGCCCTAGAATGCCAATATTCGGAAATTCGGTCCACTCTTGTTTGATTTAGAGTTTTAAAGGTCAACGCAGCCCACACTTTGAAAGGAGATGAATTCAAATTTGGAGTCTATTATGATCCTTCTCATAAAATTACTATCATAAGTATGAAGGCTGCTTTCGTCTGCGCGCCTGCATGTCTTTGTATTTTTGTGTTGTTGCGAACAATCGGTGTTACCTGAAGAATCACCTGGAGAGGTCTAGTCGAGTTTGGTACTGATGCTAAAGTGGTCTGGCTAAGTTCGACACGGTGTGAGCTGGAGAGGCCTGGTTGAAGGAAGCGGTTACGATGAATTCAAGAGGGGTTAAGTGTGACTTGTGTGTGTTCAATCGGTACCTCAGCCAGCCGAAAAAGCAGAAAGTTACGTTCAAAAGCCAAGAAACACAAAATGGGATCCTTTTTTTGGCCATCGCGCTTTCATATCAGTCTGAACAATGTAAGCAGCCAGAATATGGAACGTATGAACGCAATTTGCCGCATGCGCTATTTGATTGGTATATGCCAAAGTACGCTTAACGAGTATAATTTGCGCGTGCTGGCCACGCAGCTCGTCCAAATCAACAAGTAAACTTGTGGGCGTAACGCTGCTGGGCGGAGTGCTGCGGAGGTCCTGCTCAGCAACCACAGCACCTTTCGCCGTGGAAGCGCCACACATCGCTTCCTTGGCAGCCAAGTAATTGCTCCGTGTGGCGCAGGTTCTCCCCCGATGCGAAAATTCCTTATCGTAATCGCTTCCTTTAAGTTTGGGACGGGGAAACGGTATAAGGATGCAGAGTAGGAACAAATTGAAGAGAGGCCGACAAATGGGGACGAGATCTCGGTGGTCATAGTGCGGCAGTTCAAAAAGGATCTGTGCGGAGTATGGAGTGGAATCCAAACTCACGGCAAAGTTGTTAGATTGCTAGTAGGCCCTAAAAAAATAGTTAGGGGATAGAGAACAGCAGCTACGTGCTTCTGGTGGCAGGAGGTGCGCCGTGACAGGAGCTGTCAAAGGAATTCCGTTGTGCTTATTAGCACGTGGGAAGCATTTACCAAGATAAGGGTAAGATAAGAGATGATGAGAGAAATATGAGGCATGACAAGAGAATGAATTGGATTACGACTGAATCTGTTTCGTTGGCTTGTCACTCACTTTATCGTCAGTGCGTAGACCAGTTTCTGTTTCCGTTGGACCTGCCGAAGCCTGAATAGAAATCGTCTTACTTATCCCAAGAATATCGTTTCCCGTTTCCTTGTACTATTGACGATTTGTGCGGTGGTCCGAAACTCAGTCTAGGCAGATAATCAGGAGGCGACTCAGGAGCGGGCAATATAATGGGTCGGAGCGAATCGTCGACTGGGGGTCCGTATATGCTCCGATTGGGTTGGGAGGGGTCGCTAATCAAAAGGTCATCCAGACGGAGCACTATACGAAGTCATTAGTTTCACAAGTGTTGTACTTAGCCTAATGCAAATAACATCTTACAAGTGGTTGTTGGTTTGGTTCGTAGTGATCAGTATGGCATAGGAAGGCAACGCGTCCTGCAAAAGAATCGTAGGGAAAGGGCAGCGAGTATCTACTCTAGAATGATGCACATGCTTCGAGAACTTAGTGGAGGAACAGCATCTTGGTAGAAAGTTCAAAACAGGCAGATTCGCAGCCTTCTTGGCATTATCAGATCCTGCCACCGCAAGCTGTCATTCATCAGAACGGGTTGGAAAGGAAGCGATTTGAATAAAGGAGTGATCAGACATCACTATGACCACAAAAGTTATTCTAATTAGTTAATACTGGAAATATCTTTTGGTGCTTTCACAGTTCCGAATAGCTTCCATCGTAGATGATTATTTCGAAAATAAGGGCTTGCTAGCCACCTTATTTTGGAATAGAATCATTCCGAAACGACTATCAATTCTCGATAGGTCGAAAGTCGAGGGCGATGGAAAATCTCGAGAAAAAGAGGGTAGAAGCCTATGACGTTCGCTCGCTCTAACTTGTGATCAGTGCATAACTCACCACTTCTACGTTGGTTCCAATGTCGACAATCTCGTTCAGAGCGGGATCGAACTGGACGCAGTGTAAACTGTGTGTGTTCTCACCTTCCATAGAGTGCCTCTGGAAGCACAGTACTCACAAATAGTTGAATTTACCACGATAAGTACGACAGAATGCCACATCCTCAACTGTTGATTTTAAGGCCGATGTCAGACTTTGCGAATCGCGCGATTCGCTAGCGTCTGCGGTCGCGTCGCGGCCAGGCGAATCACTCAATTGGCTGGTACCGCAACGCGACCGCGGACGCTAGCGAATCGCTAGTAGCGAATCGCGCGATTCGCAAAGTCTGACATCGGGTAACTGCGGGACACCATATCTAGCTTGCTTGATGTTGCGAAGGGTGCCTGGGCAGCAGTGGCGCGCGCGAGTTCATATAGTACCTGTTGGTCGCGATGCACAGGGCAGGATGGGGTATGCAGGTGCGCTGTCTCAACTGTAGTAAGAAAACACCACTGTTTTGAAGATTTGCTGGGATGCCACAAAAGTGTGAGTAGAATCTAGATACGCGAGCGGGCATAATTACCAAAAGATCAGGGAAGGCCTTGCATTCGCAACGATATTCAAAGACCACGCCGAGGAAGTAGGGGTCAGAAACGTCATAGCGATGGGAGCTGCTTAGTAAAATAGATCGTAGTTCTCAGGAATTGTTGCGCTTTCAGTGACATTTGTTGAGAGGGCAACTCAATTAACAGCTGAACTTTTCTAGCCCTTTTGCCTTTTTTACTTATAAACGTCTAGTCCTTTCAAGAAAGAATTGCTCAGTATTGGCTGATAATACTTTGTAATATTTGTTGTCGACATCATCATATTTCATCATGAAGCTAATTTGACATGAAGAAAATTGAATTTGAAACAAAATCGACCAGAAATTATGGGACAACCCTATACCTTTGGTTACGATTTCTGTTATGTTTCTGTCGCTATTCTAGGGGCGATTACGGAGTTCAAAGAGGGGTTGAGAGAGACTGGTGGCGCTCAACGGTAACGCCAGTTTGGAAGGAAGATAGAGAATCTGTCAGAGAAATCCAAAACGGGGCCTCCTTTGTTTGCCGTTGCGTGTTACTCAATGAACAGGTAGACAGCTCCAGAAAGCAGTAAGTGGATGAACGAATTTTCGCAGCGCGTTCGGAGGCACAATGGCCAACCGTTTTCATTCGAGATGTTCGGTGTTAGCCTGCTAATCGCAAGAAATGGCTCGTCCAAATCACCAAACTAAACTAGTGGGCGGATCGCTTTTGGGGGCGGAGTGCTTTCGAAGTCCTGCTCAGCAACCAGCGCACCTTTCGTCGTGAAAGCGCTACACCTCGCTTCCCTGGCAGCCAAGTAACTGATTCGTGTGGTGCATATGCTTCCCCGATGCGCTCCCTTTTTATCGTAATCGCTGCCTTTAAGCAGCTTATCCAGTGTTCAAGCAGTAGCTCTGAATCAGAATCTGCCCTACTACACTCAATTAATTATTTAGAACTAACCACAGGTCCTTTCAGTCTTCTGTCAAGCTTCAGTGCACCGACGTGAGCGAACTTTGTCGCGTAAATATCGCCAGATTCCATTTTCCGGGGCTGCTTCGCCTTTAGTATAAATCACCCAGTTTTGGTACAATAGGCAATAATTCAAATCATCATAACACAACACTCACAATCCGTGATTTTCGCTTGATTGCTCTGCAAACAGAGCAACTCTTGACTTGTGATGAAATGTTATGTCACTATTAAGCAGTCGCGGCCGAAAAATTCGAAATGTAGCTGCGTATGCTTGAGGAGGAGATAGAAATCCGAACGAGGATATTCAGTGGTAGTTAGAATTTTGTGAAGTAACCATACGCTATTGAACCCGCATCGAATTGCTCCAGCCGTCAAACCGTCGCAAGATACAGGGGCATTTTCGAGGAATTAGCCCAGGTGGAGGTAGGAACTTCGGGGAAATGAAGATTGCTCTTGCTCCCTGGAGGGAGGGACTCTTCTTCACTTGCTTGAGCTTAGTATGGATTTTCACAAAATGAAGATGTTGGGCGCAGTGGTTTTGAATGGCATAGCCTCCATCAGTGCCCCGTATTATTTCGATAATGCACCTACGCTATGAGCACTAAGCGAAAATCGTTCAAATCCTTAGTCCGTAAATGGCTAGCACGGCTTGAAGCGACTTAAAGCTCGACAATTCCGTTGTGGGCTGCGCGCTCAATATTGCAGGGTTATGCTATACGAGCTCTGTGGAACCCTGGTACGTTCGCGTCCTTCCCAACAAGCACAAGACTCAGCTATCGCAAGGCAGCTGACAGTGTATCTTCTGCCTCCAGCGACCAGGTACTCGTCGCGTGCAGACCAAACAACATAAGTGACGACGGCCTCCACAAACAGTAACTGTTTTCTGCCTTTCCATTGAGATGATTAGCCGATTGCAGTTGTGCTCTATCGTTGATACCAGTCACAACCATCATTTAGCAACTATCAGTTATCACTGTGAATAGCTAGCTATCAGGGACCGGGTGCCGCAAACCCCGGCGAGGGGATGGGTCCAAAAACTGCGTCACTACTCTGGGCGACGAGAGTCTCGGTGATCATGAATAGGGAGATGCGTCCATAGATGCAGAATTTTGGACCATCCTCTCACCGGGGCTTGCTGCACCCGGCCTTAGATACTTTGGGGTCGTCGTCACTTGCATTGTGTTGTCTGCACTCGACACGCACCTGGCCTCCAGAGCCAGAAGGTACCTTTTACCGCTTACGATTCTGGAAGATTGCTGATACTCCAGCACCGTAGAATGGCCAAAGCGCTGTCGTCTTCTTACTATGTGTGCATAAATATTGGTCTCAATATTGTGACGTGCGGCTCCTCTTAGGAAGCGCGTGGCTGAGGCACGAATAAAGCTCAGTTCATTGTGGTGTGCTGCGAATCCTTCAATGGAGGGGACTGACAGGCTCGAGAAGCAGCCCTAGTGGATGTATGATTTTGGGGCAATGCGCTAAAGGGCACCAGCTTAATCTCGCTTTACCAGTCCCTAAGTCCCGCCACCTCCTAATTGTAAGCTGGGAGCATAATTTCCGAGGTTATACAGAACCGCTATGTTCTCCAGGAATTGCATGTGCCCGGGAAAAAAGATCAAGGGTAGTCACCTATTACGGGTCGTGCCGGACGCTAGGTGCGCAGCTATTCTCTAAACGATGGCAGACAGGCCTTTCTGAATATTCATTCTCTTCTGCCACAAGATTTTCGTAAAAGGGGGTCTTTGAGGGCAAGCAGCGCTTTTTGAAACGGTTTCGCATATTGAAGATACGCATGTACGGACCACAAAACCAAAGTCTTGAATGATGCCATTTAGTGGTTCGATCCCCCTTGGCGACTAAATTTTATATTCAAGGTTAGCGGCTACTTGTTGCGCTGGATTATCGTTCTAGCTAATGATAAAGAGCATCCTAAGTTTTGAAATTTAAAGGATTTAATTTTGGCACCAAACCGTAGGCGCCAACCCAAATGCAAAATTTAGTCGCCACGGGGGATCGAACCCTTAACAGTACCTCATGTTTTTTTTTTGGTACTGCCTAATATTGTTCAGCAAAAATGAAAAACAACATGGTTCTTGCGTTCCCTATATGCGTCCATACAATAGGCAAGAAATCGTTTAGAAAGAACGCTGCCTTCACTGACCCCCCCCCGTTAGTATAAAACGCCTCACTTGGTTTCTTTTTTTGGTGACGGTAGATTAAGACACTCATCATTGCAGCCAATAGTATGATCAACAGAAACAGAACACAAAGTATAGTAAACATGACGACACTGGAAACGTTCATTAGAGTTTTCCAATATTTTTTTATTCTGCTTTGTTATACAACAAACCTCAAGCCTTCTGGTTCTTCATAACGAACTCTGTGTTTTGGTTTCCAAGCTTGGGTATAGGTTACCCCTCCGAGCATTCTGAAAGCCACTCATATACTGTTGACCCGTTTCCTGTTTAGAGCATCAAAATCAGATGAGGTCGTGTCGAGGAATACATGCAATGGGTGGAATACAGCAGCCGACGAATATCACAGATGCGCCGTTGTAGTGGCTCAAAATTGCGCGACAGTGGCGCTGGGTGCTTACAAAGTGATCTGATGCGAACTTACGAACGAGATGCTTCGTGCGGTCTCAGGACTTCTGTCAACCGTGAGGCTTGGCGGTTCAGCGTTTTGTAGTGATGTCTGGGAGCTCTCACAAGTGCACACTATCACAGCATCTCCTCTTTCTTTATCTTCTTCAAAAGGCTTAGTCCCAATAAGACACAAAGTGTGTGCTTTTCCAGCTACGCTCTCACCCTTTGGTTGACAGAAGCCTTGTAACCGCTTCGTGCACACCCCATGACACGCAACGTATATTACGGCTGCTCGAGTAGCGGGGTTAGTGCAGCCGGAGCAAGCAAGCTCGTAGAACTCGTCCGGCCCCGCCCCTTCCCTGATTTGAAGGGGAAGAAAGGGACTCCTCGTTCGAGGGCCTCACGGCGATATGCTTCGGTGCTTTTTTTTATTTTTAGGCAGTTCGGCATCTGCAATTTCGTTATCACTGTTACCCCGCCAATTCGATGTGGGGTTGTTGCTTCGAAGGGAGAATTCACGACAAAAACGAAGGTCAAAGGAAGGGAAACTTCCACAGTTGGGAGACAGACGGACCTTCAAAGGGGTGCTTTGACTCTACGCCGCAATTGGCAAGGCAAAATATTTTGACCCCTGCGGCGATCTGGCCACGTGGGCGCGATTGGCAGGAGCACGCCCACGCGCCGACCGTCTAGTCGCTGCCACAGGTCTACTGCGATTATATTCACTCGTCCAGTATATATCACGTGCATCTGCGCAAAGAGATGCACTAGGCAAGTAAACGGTTGCTATTTCTCGAGTTCCGAGTCCATTTGTAACTGGTTCTCCTCATCCCTATTGCCGCTACTTTATTTGGGGTACTGGTCTACCAATTATCAAGCTGCCGGCAAATTAGTGTCAAATTTGCCCACATACCCTCAGCTACGAGAACCAGGTGCGCGTCAAGTGTAGATCATACACCACAAGTGACGCTGGCCTTTAGCTAAACCTGGTAACTAGTGCTCCTCATTCCACTGACAGAAACTTCACATCGTTGGAGGGCCGTCCGTCGCTTGTGTTTTGTGTCTGCACTGACGAGGTCACCTAGGTTCCAAAAGTAAATATATTGTTTTCCTTCTCCCCTCGCACCGGTCAGTTTAATAGCGGTGTAATTAATTAGTACATGCTAGCACAAATTCTTTATCCTATGATGAGAGGTATGTGTACACTGCTGACTAATCGGCTAAGTCAATCAGGAGCAATAATTTAAGGCAGTGAAATTTCCAAACGTCAGCCCATTTCCATTCTCAGTTACTGAGATATCTGGCAACGTCGACTGAACGAATTAGTATTGTGGGAGACACGTCGCGCGCAAGGAACCTCTTCATCTGCTCGCGCTGTGGATTGCATAGGTGGTGGTTCTTTGATGGGAGTGATGATAAAAGTAGTAGTAGTTGTTGATGTTGATGTTGTAGTTGTAGTTGTAGTTGTTGTTGTAGTCGTAGTTGTAGTTGTAGTTGTAGTCGTAGTTGTTGGCAACTGTGTTGCTCTTCGTGTTGGGTACGGGATCCCTAGGAGCTTTGATGTTGCTTCGTCGAGGGATGAGGTGGAGGAGAAATGGTGGATTCTGAGATTAGTTTCGGTATGTGAGAGGCCTGGCGCGCGAGTACTCTCATGATTCGGAGTCGATGAGGAACGAGGGCCGTAAGGGGCCATCGAGGATCCTGCCCATTATTGGGGCTCGGATCAATGCGGGTCAAAGAGGGGCTGCCAAGTGAATCGGGGTGTTGTTGTGGATGGTTAGGAGAGGGTGGTTGACTAGGCATCTGCCTATGTTCCTGTGGACCAGGCCGATGTGGTTGAGGGTTAGGTCTGTCAGGGAGGTGAGGACGTCGTGGTGGCTTCTGCTCACGGTTTTCATGGTGGTTCTCATTCCTTCATTGTCATCGAAATCACTATAACGCTTATAGCGTGAGCCTTGGTTATGGTGTTCAAATGGATGGGAATAGCGCCGGTAGCGGGAATCATGAGGACGGTGTAACTCAGGTGATTGTGCATCAGAAAAGCCAACGGAAGGGAAATGGGAAGGGGAAATTTCGCTCAAAAGCTTTTCCCGCAAGATTGCTCTTGGACTGGACAGTTCTCGATGACCTGAAAAAAACCCGGTTTTCCAAAATTAGCCTCTGAACCACAGTCAAACAAAATAACGTATGCTACGCAAAATTAAAGGAATTTGGAGAAAAGTGTCATGATTTCCCAGCGAATCGTTCCAGCAGCAACTCGTCCACAAGCACAAAGGTAACGCCATATTTTCGACTCAAAAGCGCGAAACGAAGCCGATAGGGATTTACTATTTGGTTGTCTCAAAAGTTCGTGCTTATTTTGAACTTCTTTTTGAGCCTACTCTATTCAAGCACATGCACATCCTATCATCATATATGCACCACCACTATCAGTGACTTGTTGCCAACATCCAACCGAAGGGTGGCTTTAACTCTCAGAAGGCT